TATTATTAAATATGGGTTCCTATGATAAGCAGTCACTTAGCCCATCCTGTGGAGGCCTCTCCATTGATGTAAGCAAAGCCGGGAAAGTGTTGCATGTGCTCGTACTCAGAATTCCTGCGCGTGGTCAGGGGTGTGTACACGTCACCGGAGTTTCCGTACCTCGTGGAGTGCACAGACGGGCTTGTGTAGCACGTGTTGGCCGTGGGCACCTCTGGCCAGCGGGGAGTGACTGGGGTAGGATGCAGTCTGGGAGTACTGCTCATCAAACAAGGCTCCATCCGGGAAGTAGGGCTAGTAAAAGGGTACTTGTTGAGGGGAAAGAAAGTCCACAAAGTTAAAATTGGCTTAATGTTGCATAGACGCTGTATCAGTCATGCCTTAAGATGTTCTTAATGAGAGCTAATGGGAGGCATTCAGTGAGCTTCTGCAAGACTGAACCTTGGTGGAGAGAAGTAACCAGCTGCCAAGGATTTCAGAGCCAGAGCGGGGCTGCTGTGCAGTCAAGCAGCAGTGCTGGTTTGGGGATCCCAATCTGGAATGTCTTGGGGAAGTCAAACCTCCAAGAAGGAATAGCCCCACTGGGAATTCAGGAGAGTGCACGTCTGTGTTTGTGTGTGCGTGTGCAGCACACCCACCCAGGTGCAAACAGGTCCAGATGGGGATGGAAGCATGGTTGGTCGTGAGTCTTATAGTTACGGAGATGTGGTAGGTCCCACTCCATCAACCGGAGAGAACAATACTGCCAAGTACCACACAATGGCATCATTAAAAATAGCTTCTTACAGTTGAATTCAATTATGAACTGCAGCCTAAAAGCAAGCTTGTGAAGAGGAAGCAAGTCAACAGACTTGAGGGTTATTATTAGTGCCTATCATTTAGAGAACATTTTACTTTTTTAGTTCACATTCACTGAAGTCCTGAAAGATACACAAGTAGGAAATGGTAAATTACTGGGCTGGATGTGAATGTGGAGGAAGATGTCAAGATGAACCAGCCGAGATGGGGCGAGAGGGGTGGTTTTGTGCAGGTAGGTGAATCTGTGCCAAGTAGCCCCAAGAAGAAGGGGAGCTGCTCTAGAAAGGATCGGGAATAGGAGAGGAGCTTCTGGAGTGCTTTTTCTTCTACATTCTTTTCTGTTACCCAGACAGCTATGCAAATAAGCCCCCTTCAGTACTCTGAGGAAAGGAAGAAGAGCCCTGGGCTCCTTTTGAGACCTCCCAGTATGCAGGCAGCCTTCTAAACCCTGCCTCTTCCAAGGGTCACCCCAACAAGGACAGTCAGGGAGCAGGGGGAGAAGAGAGTGTGGTGTGAGCGTATGAATTCTGCTCCCCATCTGTCTTCCCTGACAGTTGGAGAGTGGAGTCCCAAGGGATTAGGTGGGAGGGTTCCCCCTGTGAGGGAGACAGACTGGCTGGAGTGGAGACAGCAGCTGGGAGAGGGGTGCAATGACAACAGTGGGTGCTCCCCATGCTCCAGGTGGCTGAGGGGAACTACTCTGCATCTTTGAATGGGAGCCCAAGGGGTGCAGGGGAAGGCTGTCAGGCCCGAGGCGTGCTGGGAAAAGAGGTCAGGAAAGAGGGACCCAACCTCTAGTAGGGAAGGTTGATTTGGGGTTTGGGATTTTTTTTTTCCCCCAGAGAAGATGGCAAGCCTTATCCCAGCAAAGTGCAGCCACTTCAGAGTCAAAAGAACAGTCAGGAAGGAGGGAGAAGGGTGTCAGGGGTTTCTGGGAATTTGAGAGAGAAGGCACCAAGGGTTGTTGCCAAGGAGACTATGGAGGAGCACACTGAGGCTTCCATAATCCCTAAAACACTTCAGAAACATGGACTCTGAGAAGCTACAGGATACTGTTTATGGTTTAGCTATGGCAGACCCTCTTGGGCCTGGCAGTGGGATGCCAGCAGAAGAGACTGTGGTAAGATTGGATCCTATCCAAGTAAAAGGATCCCAGACAGATTAAACAGATCACGTCAATATTGATCATTTAAAAGATGTTTTCTTAATTTCTCTAAAATTTATTTTCCTCCTGTTGCTGTCTAAAGTCAGCTCCACGTTACAGGCCCCTCACCGTTGGCCCTCTCCTTGGCACAGAGTTCTCCTTTCTGGCCCTATTACATTTCAGGCTGGTTCCCCTCTCCTGGAATTCTGCCCAACCACTGCTAGTTCCAACTCCTTTGAGGTCTCAGCACCAATGCCGCCTCCTCAGGCCTTTCTTGGACATCCTATCCCTAGAAACTACCCGTCCCACTCCTCAGCAGACTCTAAGCTTATTATTGTCATTAAGTACCATCAAGTCAGTTCTGACTCATCATGATCCAGTACAGATTTGCAGAGAAGTGACTGGTGGGTTTGAACCACCGACCTTGCAGTTAGCAGTCCAGTACTTATCCTACAGCGCCACACCAGGGCTCCAGAAAGAAACGTAGGGGTCATACAATCCAAACCTATGTTGTACAGATGAAAAAAACAAATATCCAAAGTCCTAGTCACGTGGCAAAGTCACATGTCAAGTGAGTGGAAGAATTGGCAGAAAAACCTAGTCTCAGAGTGGCTTTCTCCTCTCCATCCATCTGACGGATCTAAGACCACATGACCTGTGTTGTTGGGCACCCTGGAGACCGTGTCACTCACAGCCATCACAGGTGACAGTGGAACTGCCCCATAGGTTTTCTAAGCTGTAATTTCTCCCGGTCTCCAGGCCTTTCTACCCCAGAGCTACTGGATAGGTTTGAGCTACTAACCTTTCGTTTAGCAGCCAAGCACTTAACCAGTGCTCCACCAAGTTTCCTTAGGCATGACCCACCGGCCACCCCCATCCGCAGGAAATCCAGCCCACTAAGCTTTAGTCCCGATGTGGCGCTGTGGATTAATGCACCAGACTGCAAAGCCGTTTGAACTGCAAGATCTGCGGTTCAG